AGCAAAGACCAAACATAGTCAGATATTACCAATGGCCATTACCCAGAAGAAGCAATTACTTGGTGCAGTTGAATGGTCCACATTTTGGTGATACGACGTGGAGATGTGTACGCAAAGAAATTGCACAAATTACATGAAAAACAACCAAGCAACTGCAAACCAAATTCAATGAGCACAGGCAAAATATGGATACAAAGTAAGACATTACTATAAATAGCAGACGATGGAAGACTTAGAAATGACGAAACTTTGATTGAGAAATGTGGAAGTTACGAGAAACAAACTGGAATTCACAAAACAGCAAGAAGTTGCCCAGCAAGTAACTGGCAATGGTGTGTAGACCAGCTAAATTTTCACATAGTGGTGCTTGGTTATCAACGAAGATAAGAAATCAGCGCCGGCGTTTTAGTCTAAAATATCAAGTGCGCACTAACCGATAAAAGTGGTACACGCCTTTAGGAGAAGTGTCAGGTAGAACGTTCTAATTCTAACCCATCACTCTAACGAAGCACTCAACCACACGAATCGAGTTCAAACAGCATTCAAAACTTATCCAATCTGTTAACTGAAAGTAAACTCTGTGTTCGGCCTTTCGTCTACCTTATGACTAAATGAACTTTCTAACCAAGGAATTCTGAAGCGTATTCAGGCAATAGAATTTATTCTGGTATTCAGTTCAGGTAGGTTCGGCTTATCGGCTATGAACCTTTTAGTGAGCTTCTGCACAGGGCCGCTACGCTTTTGTTCATTGGGGACACTGGGATGACGGCGATGCATTGAGGGCCAGAGACTTAAGAATCTAGTTAAGTACAGTCGAGCACATTTCAATCGTTATATGGCGGATAGATTTGGGGTAGTTTTCGACACCTGAATTTCTACAGTGATTCTCGTTTTAGCTGGCAACGAGTTTATCCCTGAACTCAATTAGTACCTTGGCAAAATACAGGGTAAATTCCTCGCTACAACTGTTGTCAAATGATTCATTCAGAACTGCAATACCCTGAACGTACATCAAATTTCGTTGTTCTCAAACACAAATGCCGAGCGCGTGTGCTAAACAAAATGTGCCAGTAGAACTTTCTAAATCAGTCTTTGTCTAATGAAAATGTGGATGTTGTGCGGTGGACTAAGTTCTCAAACACAAATGCCGAGCGCGTGTGCTCAACAAGTTGTGCCAGTAGAACTTACCAAATCAATCTTCGTCTAATGAAAATGTGGATGTTGTGCGGTAGACTAAGGTGTCCCTTCCTCTTTGTTTCCAAACCATTTGTGGTGTTCGGTTTTCGAAACCGGTTAAATACGACACATTCGACGAGTGATGATTCTTTGGGATCACGTTTCAAACCATTTACTTCGCAATTAGTCAGGCGTGGGATCTATGGTTTGATTAACATTCATCTCTTTTTCGGTGTCCATTCAAGGATTCAGTCATTTTCAACTAAATCAATAAAGTTTTTTTTTTTTAAAATGAAATACTTTTGAAGGAGTTGTTTCGTTTTGAAAGTTTAAAGAATAAGCCGAGAATTCGGAAACTGGTGGGCACCAGGTTTTGGCATTTTATTATCGGTGCCAAGGCCAATAATAATAATAATAATCGAAAGAAACGGATTTCATTGAAACTTTCGGATAAGTCAGCCAAGCAAACAAAAATATGATCCGTTGCGCCAAGGCGTCTCTAAGGATGTGAACAATCGAAGCCCCTGTGCTGCGACTTATTGAGACGGTCTAGAAGCAGGAAAATTTGACTTGCCGTGTAGGTGAAGTACAATCCCGAAGAAGCTGTTTTCGAGTTACTCGGAGCGGGTGCATGTCTCAGATACCAGCAAGTGTCCCTTCCTCTTTGTTTCCAAACCATTTGTGGTGTTCGGTTTTCGAAACCGGTTAAATACGACACATTCGACGAGTGATGATTCTTTGGGATCACGTTTCAAACCATTTACTTCGCAATTAGTCAGGCGTGGGATCTATGGTTTGATTAACATTCATCTCTTTTTCGGTGTCCATTCAAGGATTCAGTCATTTTCAACTAAATCAATAAAGTTTTTTTTGTTTTTTTGAAATGCTTTTGAAGGAGTTGTTTCGTTTTGAAAGTTTAAAGAATAAGCCGAGAATTCGGAAACTGGTGGGCACCAGGTTTTGGCATTTTATTGTCGGTGCCAAGGCCAGTAATAATAATAATAATCGAAAGAAACGGATTTCATTGAAACTTTCGGATAAGTCAGTCAAGCAAACAAAAATATGATCCGTTGCGCCAAGGCGTCTCTAAGGATGTGAACAATCGAAGCCCCGGTGCTGCGACGTATTGAGACGGTCTCGAAGCAGGAAAATTTGACTTGCGGTGTAGGTGAAGTACAATCCCGAAGAAGCTGTTTTCGAGTTACTCGGAGCGGGTGCATGTCTCAGATACCAGCAAGAAACTTAGTTCAGCTGTTGAGGTGAAGGAAAAGCCTATTTTTAATAAGACAAAGTGAAGATTACGGTGTGTGAGTGCAACTGGCCAACTTCGAATTACTGTCTAACGGCCAGCCACTATGAATGTGGTAATCAAGGCCGTCTTCTGCATCCCTTAGACGGTGTGGAATGAGTATGGGCCGGATCCTCAGTCAATAAAGCGGGCTAAGATGGCACAATTGTATAAATCTGACCGGGTTACCTAGGCGTATGGGTGCAACGTGTTTGGTTTTGTGCGCCTGCGTGGCACGTCTGACCAAAAGTGAGGATGGCGATTAAGAAGATAGTGTGCGATCAATATATATGCTATACAGTGACGCGGGACAGTGGTGCACAATAACCTGGGTTTCAAAATTTACGACTTCCGGTTACTGCCAAAGCGCATGGGCAAATAAAAACGCAGATTATGTGGAAACATTTTACACATCACAACTCACGTGTCATCACAAGTTGAATAATCAGGTTCGTCAGGAAGAGGGGCATGTTTACTAATGACCAATTGCTTCAGTTCTTCTTTGAGGGATGACAGCTTTTCCGGGGTGACTTCTTTTACCCTCCGGCGTAGACCCATAGTGCCACTGCCCACTTTGTTCATTTGGAGAAGAATGCACTTGAACGGTCTGCAAAATGTTGAACGAATCAAAACCATCTTTTGATATGTTTAAATCAATCAAGTGCTATCACAAAAACAACAGTGGTGGTCTGTTCGCTTTCTTTTTGCACTGCAATGCACTGAACAACATGCAACATTTGATTATGTAGAAATGGATACTACGAACGGCTCACCATGAATAGCAGGCCAGAGCACTGTTGTGGACCACAGTCCCTTAATGCTTTCTTATTACCGTGATCCCCGGTCTGGATAGCCGACTGATCGTCTGGTACGCTTGACCAAACCAGAACAAGTCAACGAACGTGCGAACCGGCTTATATGTTGATCACTGTCGCGTACAAGCGGGTCAAAAAAAGGGATACTAAGACTACAACTCATCTGTCAAGGGCGAATGAAGAACAACCAATGAAATCTGCCTCAACGAAAACGGTTATTCCAGTGGCTGTTATGTGGTCCCGTTGCGTTCGGAGCCGGTTCTCCTAATAAGCACAATGACCGAATTTGGATCGTCACATAATTTTTATCATCATCTGCTGCATAAAAAGCTTTTTCTTCTCGTGACAAAGGTACACACGGCTCTATTCAGATGAACTTTCTTGATTGTTTCTTGGTAACCGGAAAACTGAATAACCCGAGAGCTGGCAACTGTCACTGAACAAATCGGAGGGAACATTACTCTTCCAACTCCATTTAGTGATCTTCATTATTAATTTTGCGTTCAGAAATGCCAAAATGCAAATGAATTAATTTAGTATGAATAAGATAATGACTATTCCGATGCTCCTTACTGTTAAATAGCAGTACGGGTGAACAGAATGGAGCAAACGAGTGGAGTGTAGCAGTAATATCTTATCAGGTGAACTAATCAAAACCTACTTTGGTACTTTCGTACAAAAATCCCCATAAATGTCTTTGATATGTTCAGCTTCACAGGCCGGGTTATACTTGGTCAGGCGATGCTGTATTGCCAACGGATTGACCAATCATATAAGTGGTATATGATGACCGACAGGCAGGTTGAACGGGACTCAACTGTCGGTCACATGACCGGGGAATCTGAACAGACGCTACCGCCACAGAACTCCTGTGGTGCTTTCTGACAGCTTCCTGCATTTGTCCACCAGTGGTAATGGAGGACAAGTGCAATTGTCTGAATGCTTCAACATACACAACCTGACAATTCCTAGAGACTGTAAGCCATCCGGCCTTGAAGATTGAGCAAATTACCGTTGGTGATCATTCAAGCGCTGGTGAGCATGCGCAGACAGAAGAACAGTATAGCTGTCATTCTTTCAACAGGTCAGCTCTAGTAGTGCGACATTCAGAGGAGATCATATTTTACGGACCCTCTGAAGCCTATACTAGATTGTTTTCGAAAACGTTTGGTGACAGTCGCTGGATTTATTGCTGGGCATCGTTTCGCTTTTGACACTAAAGCTTCGTCACGCCAAGTGACTAAGTTCCGATATTAGTCGAGATTTAAGGCTGAAGGAGAACCAATCAGCTAAGTCAAGCTAAATCTCTGTTGGGTGTCGGCCGAGGGATTTTAGTGTGTTAGAGTGGTTGAACAAGTGTTGGGTCGGTGGGGAAACCTACATGTGTTTGGGTCCTGCCTAGGGTCTAGTTCTTCTGGTTCGGTTCATTTGATGGTTCCTCTTGAACTTCGTTTGAACCTTCTGTTAGTCTGTGTGGGTGAGCTAGTGCTAAGAAAGTTGTGTAGGAGGGATGCTGTGACCTTTGGTCGGTTGGGGTTTCCACCCCTACCCCCCGGTTTTTTCTAATGATCCTAAGTGGATTGACAACCACACCGTCACGTGTCAACTCGGCTTATCTAAGACCGCTTTCCATACGCTCGCTAGCTCCACACCCTCGATTCTATTCACGCTGTGATGCTTAGTGATTTCCACCGCCTCGGCTATCAGCCGTTGTGGTGTGAATCGCAGTCCCCGTCTTAAGACTTCCACATTCTCCAGATCTATTCTATGTCCCGTGTCTAAGGCATGTACCGCCATCGCTGAGTCTTTGACCAGCGTTTGGTATTCTTCTGCATTCCTTGGTGGTTTGTTAATCCTTCTTTTATGCTCACCAATTCTGGTGTGCAATTCCCTGGCAGTTTGTCCTATATAAACCTTAGTATAATCGTTGCAGTTAATTTTGTACACATAGTCTCTAGTCCTTTCAACCGGCAGTGGATCTTTCAATTGCATCAAAAACCGAGCGTAGAGTCTTTCCTTCTGAAAATCTGCTCGGATTTTGGTTAATTTCAACGATCTTCGAATAACCTCCGATGTTCCTGCTTTATATGGAATGACTGCTGTGCCAATCCATTCCTTATTGGATCTAGATACTGGAGCCAATATCTTTCTTAGTTGATGCTTAATGAAACTCATTTGGTATCCTATTTTCACGTGAGTGTCCATACTAGATGGTTTGATGCTGTGAAGACCGACATTCAGCTCGGACTACACAGCACTTTTCGAACAAAATTTTGGTGAGTATACCTCAAGAATGACTTGAATTCCATGGTCTGCACCTGTCTGATAAACAAATTGACGGCCTCGTATTTCCTTGAGTGATGTACGTTGTTGGTCTGAGAGACCATCCGTGGGGATTGTAAACCAAAGATATTTTGGGCGCGCTATCCCAACCGGTATGTAGTTATGTGTGTAATACGGCTAGTGAGGGTGCGTCAGCGGTTACACTGGGTATCACGTTCCTTCAGGTCTCATCTAGGATTACTAGCTGCCTTGTTGCTGTGTGACACTCAGCGGTTTAGCAGTTCGCTACACGCCAGTGGTCACGTGACTTTCTGTAATGCACTCGATAATAGATTTATACCCAGACGCTGCGTTTTGGTTCCAGAAATCCTCATGTCAGCGCAGCAACCACCTAATGACAACATTGTGGATGCAGTGGAGATCTCATACCGCAATCATTTAATCAGCTTGTACAAAAAATCGGTTATATATTTTTACACGAGACTGCAGCAAGGCCTACCCCGAACCCGCTTTAGGGATAAGCAAGTTAAATTTTTGATTCTACTTGGTAAATGGTCATACATAAGCGTCAAAAATAACTAAATTGATTCCAATCCAGGTTCAGGAACCATCGGTTCTCGCGAATTTATGATTCTGTGGGTTTTGCTGAATTCTTCTTATAACATATTTCTCTGTTCTAATAAACGATGTTTCACCTTAAATTCATTTGTAACTCGTCAGTGGAGAGCTGCAAAACTAGAAAATAATGATCGATTTGCTTTCGTTGGCAAAATACGGTCGATGTGATGATCCACCAGCTCATTAGTCATTTTTGGATGTAATGGTGATTCACTGAAATCTTAAGCGTTCACTAATCGAGCTGAAGTGGCCAAAATGAATGGTCTTTCAGTTTCATACAAACAATTTTTGGCCAGGTTGGAGACATCTACAGTTCTAATGACTTAACCAGGAAATGAGAACTAGGAGCGGTTAATTACTCGCTATTCCGAAAGTTTCGTCCCCTCATAAACCCCGTGACTACTGGTGGTAGTGTGTCCCATCCTGGAAGGTCGACCAATTAATTTGGTTTATGCATCTGGAAGACATAGCCATATAAAAAGTTGCTAAAATTTCCGAAGACACGTGCCTGAACTGGACAGACTAATACTGGAATACCCAATTTCAAACAAACACACTTGCACAAAAAGTAAGGTTTCATTCTGCAGTATTCAGGAATTGAAGTTGATTTAATCGATGATGAGTAAGGACCTGTTGTTGGGCAGACAGATAAAAAATAATAATAGATAGATGTATAAACGGATAAATGCATGGATGGTACTGGAGGTAAATAGATAGATAGATAGACAGATAGACAGATAGATAGATAGGATAGGATAGGATAGGGTAGGATGGGATGGGATAGGATAGGATAGGATAGTGACCTCACTGATTTATCCTTGAAATGCCTCATCTGGCTCATCTGATGTAAGCACCACATCATGCGGTAATTCATAGAACATTACTTCGTTATTTATTAACATTTGCGCAAGCAGTCGTCCTTCATATCTTCACATGAGCTGATCACGCCTTCTAGTTTTAAGTAATTTTTGAAACTATGGCCAATTTTATTCACTGAGACCACACCCAGATCGTTTTCTGGACATATCATCATTTCTTCTTGACAGCGTCATTCTGCGGGAGCTTGAATATGTTTCTTAATGGGTGAGCTCTTGTGGTTAACAGATATTTGCTTCTAGGCGCTGGACGCAATGACCAGGTCTGTTTTGCATAGCTCGAGGTAGCAAATGGACATTGTTTCCAGTGGCTTTGTTTGTAAATTTCAATTCTTAGAATGTACCTCGGTTTTAGAAATGCCACTCATGTTTCCCCAGAAGTTGTACACTACAGACTTGCCCAATTCCGGTTTGTCGAAAGAACGCACGATCCGCAAACTGTCTAGGAAACAGTAAGCTCCTCATTTGACACATTTGACTGTTGAAAAGTGATCCATTATTGATCGCAAATTTTTGGTCTGAGTGAACCAAGCTGGCCGAGCATGTGAGATTTCAGTGATAATTTGCTGTACTTTTGGGCTTTTACGGGATAGGTTTTTTTGTTCACAGGCACACCACTCTCGTTTGAACGGTCGTCCTCCTGTTCTGGTGTAATTATTCCGGTGAGTCCACACCAAAGGGAAGCACTGGATTCGAGTTTCACTCTTATTAGAGCTCATCAGCAAAGCATATCCAATGGCCGTGCCGGGATTTGTTGCTATGTAAACCGAAAGTCTTCCAATATGGTCATTGGCTTGTTAACTGAGCTGGGCAATCTGACGTTTCCCCACCAGTCGAGGTGACACCATCAGTATGTTGTTAGGATGCGTCTGGAGCCTCCAGGTGGTGATGAAACGTTTGCAGTCAAAGCACTGAACTCAGCCGACAAACCAACAACCCTCTAAGCCGCTGGAGTAAAAGAAATTCTTCTGAATTTTAGCACTGCTTCAGATAATTATATTTAATATAATCTCTACAAGAGCATGAAAATCAGCTAAAAATGTTTTTAATTTTTCAAGGGTAGTTGTGATGACGTTCTCGCTGTTTTTGTGCTGGAGACCATGTTATAGTATCCCATATTAATTATTATATGATAAATAAAAATGAACTTAATTTTCGAGAAATACACTCGTCTGCGAATCAATTTGGTTTTCATGGCAGACTCAATTGAATCTCTTGTTTATGATGTCCTCCGGCTGAATGTGCTGCAAACAGGCCGCCTCATGATTCAGTTGGCACGATATTCGAGATATCGCAGTATATTTTCATAAAGGAAACTACTCACAGGGTTGCTGAAAACTCTTCGACAGCCCACAACCGGTTTCGGCCTTCTTAGGGCTCATCAGGTAGGTAGTCCCCGATTTCCGTCAACCTTATAATCTACTTGAACCCAAATCGGACTGATTCAATTGAGTCTCCCGTGAAAACCAAACTGATTTGCAGATGAGTGTATTTCTCGAAAACAGTGCAATTTGGGTTCAAGTAGATCATAAGGTTGACGGAAACTCGGGGACTGCGCCTACCTGATGAGTCCCAAGAAGGGTGAAACCGGTCGTGGGCTGTTGAAGAGTTTTCAGCAACCTTGTGAGTAGTTTGCTTTATGAGAAATTAATTTACCTTTGCTTTTTCTACTTTTGATTGGACACTTTTCCATCTTAGTTTGATGCTGTCAGAAAATTATCCGGACCAAATTGCATAGGAACAGTTGAGTGGAAACATTTAGAATATTTAAATATATCGAAGATATTTTGACTTATTACTTCACTCATCATCAAGCTTGTCCACGTTACGCTAGCAGATCGCAAATGTAGGCTAAGATGTGACCTCGACACGCTGTCTTTGTTGTGTGAATCGTCCGAGACATGACATGATCATCACGTGTGAACGAGAATAACTAGGAATGCTAACGGATTCAGAGTGCAAAAACGCATTCCGCACACTACTGAATGGCCTGGGATTGAAAAAATGCGTGAGCACCTTTCTAGCTGTGAAGCGTAAAAGCCATGAAGCGGCATTCGATCGGATGAGGGGACTTGTTGTAACACACTACTCATAATTATGCAGAGACTACTATGACAGCCCATGACTGGTTTCGACATTATCGAGTAGGCGCATTCCTCGGGTTTTCGTCATCCCCATACTTGACTTGAATACCAAATGGCATGAAGCTGGTGAAATACACTCATTTGCAATCGAACTTCACGGTAGTCTCGACTTGAGCTAGAAATCAGCTGAGTTCACCAAACTTATTTGCAAATGAGTGTCTTTCTCCAAACTTCATACAGTTTGAGGTTGATGGAAACACAATGACTTCGCTTAGCTGGTCAACCACAAGGAAAACGAAACCGGTCGTCGGTTGTCAAAGTGGTTCCACAACTTTATATGTAGTTGATTACATCAGAAACACGGAAGTTGTGTGTGAAGCACATTTAGTTGAAGAATATCACACAGATGCAGTTCATTTGGGATCGATGTTGTGTTGGTTTTTCTCCAAAAGCAATGCTACTGATTAGTACGAGGGAATTTCTTGTCACATTCTGTGCTCATCATGTGGTGGCAGCCTCTGTGTTATATCCATGGTTCTTTGAATGTTGATAACAACTGCATGACATACCCAATTTCACACACTTTAAAAAGGTAACTTGTCGAATGTCAATTTGGATCATACTCCCACCCTACATAGGCTAGCTTGTCTCTATAGCGATGCATCTTACGTCACCGCTGCTAGTCCTGATCCGAGGGTCTAGCTTATACGTACCAATGCATTGAAAAAGATGTGTCATACACCTGCTCATATCCTTAATAAACTGACGGGAATGTGCGTTAGGCGATTTGGTAAACGTGCTCTACAACAATCAGAAGTCGCTCGTACACTCCCTTGTGAGCTGCACAGGATAACCTGCCAANAGGATGGGCATTAACGGTGTGCAGCAGAACCAAGAAATCTGCTTATACCGTCTAATTTCACACTTCACTGATGGCGAACTGTTGAGATTAGAAAAGTACGGCGGCACGTAGGTGCATAGGTAAGCAACCCGGGCAGACAAAAATTGTGTATAGGGAGAGGGATAACTCTCAAGGTCACAAGACGAACTAGGTGAACAGACAGAACACACGGACGTTCAGGACATCAAGGAGATAAAAACTCCCGAGATATCTTCTAGGTATACGCAATGTTCTGAGTTCTAATCTCAATTGAATATCGATTTTGGTCAGCAGCGATGACATGAATATTCTAATGCTATCAACCGCATACGCTTTAGATTGATATTCGGGTTAGTTCTCTGGAAACAGCGATGGAAATCCAACCCATGTTTACTAGACATTCTTTGTAAATAGGCGCGCCGGAAATCCTCAGCTTGTGGAAATTTGACCACTACCGGTGAAAAGAAGAAGACGGAGTTATTTATTAGGAATTACTAACTGACCGGTGACAGACCATTGGACAGGGAAGCAAAACTCTCACTTGCATCTTATTTGTAAAAACTGGACACCCATATTCTCCTGAAGGCGTCTTCTTGAACTTTCCTGGATATTCATTGACTCCGATCATCCGTCGCTCAAATCTAAACAAACGTCACAAAGCGACTCCTCAAATTCCGCAATAGGTCTCCCCTTTTCAAAAGACGCAAAGCGAAATTCCACGAACAACACATACTACTCGCGTGTCTCCCCATCAGTTATATCAACGTTACACTGGTCTCCTCTAGGTTTACAGCAGAATCCATATTTTGAGCTGGCAGATCAAATGACATCGCCCCCGTGGTAACCCCACCTCCTCCTGGGTATTTATTGGTATCTCCGACTGATCGCCAACTACAAGCAGTTTCAAAACCCTCCAATTTGGTGTCACCGCTATGTTTACGGTGTGTTTAAAATACAGGGCAAGAGAGGAGGGCCTCGTAGTATTTTACGTGGGCATTTGATGGAGGTAACCTATCGTCTACTCAGAACGGTCGTGATAATTTGCCTTATCAATACCCCAGTTAGTCATCCTGTCACGTCTTTTAGTAGTTCCAACGTAATCCAACGTCCGCATCAAAGCTGTGAATATTTCACGGATATAGGGGTCTAAGCAGTACGCCGTTGTTTTGACCAGGAAACTAGTGACGGTGAATTGCTATCAGCCTCTCTTAGCAAACCACTAGAAGACGTGTTGATGTAACACCAAATTTGGGCTTGTTTTTCGATGCAGTTTGATGCTAAATGAATAAAAATGACAAAGAAATGTCTGATTAGATGGCAAGGTTTTTTTACCACTTCTTCAGAGTGCTAGTCTGGACTGAAAAAGGCATAGTTCAGAAGATACCGCTGTATGTGACCTCGTTGCACGTAGCGGGCAATTCAATCTAACTGGCTCATTACTGGTTATCTTAGAAGAAAACCATAAGAGAGGCCTAACCTAGTGATGATGCCTGTTAAAGTAGGTAGGCTTGCGGGGGAAGTGGATTCAGGAATAGTTTCACTGAATCAGCGACGAATTTCGCTAATCGGGAAGACGTCACAACCGAGGTGGCAACCAAGAAATTCAGCGGCAAAAACTTCAAGTAACCACTTACTGCAATAAGCTGTGCAACATAAAACCGTACATTAAATTAGTTGACACAGTGTTTTGGAAAAGTGCTTTCAGGTTGACCTAATGCTGTGCGGTGCAGCGGGGCGTGTAATTAGCATAAGTTAACCTAAATTTTCACGAGGAGACTGGACCTTACTATGTTGTAACGGTCTGTGCACCTGAGCGACTGACTAAATTTTCACGAGGAGACTGGACCTTACCATATTGTAACGGTCTGTGCACCTCAGCGACCCGTTGAGCTATACTGGGGGTGTCCCGCGACACTCGTCGTCTTTCATACCGGGAAGGTCAATGGTTAGAGGTCTGACAAACACAATCTTCTGGTCCTCCACGCTGGGGGATGAAACATGTGGCGACTGGTTCTTTAGAAATTGTAATGCATTTGCATTTTCTCCAAAACACCGCTGCCTTGGCAATGTGTTGAAGTATTGGTAGCTCGGTGAGTTTAATGATTGTTGATCAGGTGGCTATTGATCTGTTCGATGAGCTTGCCAACTGACTTGCAAGCGTTTCGTCACCATGCGAGGAGATATCATCAGAGCGCAACGGTGTCTCCTCGTATGATGACGCTTGCAAGCGAGTTGGCAAGCTCGGCGAACAGATTAACAGTCACCTGATCAACAACCGTTGTTTTGTGGTTAGGCTTTTGAGCCGAAAGCTTTGGTTGAAGACTCTAGTAGTCTCTCTGTTTAGGTCTGAGGGCCCTGACAGTATTCCAGCCCACATACAACCATGACACTTAAAACTAACAACACCCTCATGCCATATCGGCCGTCGTGCAGTGCCATCAACCGGGTCGCCTTACTCGCTGCATACAGCAGGGCGGGTAAGCGAAAACAGGATATTGCTGATGCCTCTCTTCTCTTTCTTTCACATACTTTTTTCCCTCTCTTCCCATCATTAATAACTCTCTCCTTGTGGGCCCAGCACTGGACTGATGGCTTCATTCGTCGTGTATTGGCTTTGCGTGCAGCGTCTGCTCATCACATGGTGCCGACTTTCTCAGGTAGCTCAAAATGGATCTCCAAGCCTCGACACCCAGTCTATCTAGCCACCTTCAATGTCCGCACTCTGAAGCAGGCAGGACACTAAGCTACTCTTGCACTCACACTGGACTCGCTTGGATGGATGTGTGCTGTGTCTCAGAAACGAGGATTCAAGATAAAAGCACAGTGACTGAGCAAACCGCTCCGTCAGCCTCCACTCGCTTCCGGCTGCACACATCTGGTGATCAGGAGGCTTCTGCGGCGGGATGTGCAGGGATCGGTTTCGTCCTAATTCACCGGGCGGAATTATCCTTGCTCGATTGGATACCTGTTGATTTCTGCCTCTGTGCGGTCCGTTTGGCAACGTCTGTGAATGGGTTTCACAAGTGGAAATTCAATAGATGCCTGCTTTCGTGTCGGTTTACGCTCCAGTTGAATGTAGCTCCGACGCCGTCAGGCTTAGCGTATCTGAGACTCATTTAGGAGGTCAACCTGGATTGGACGTGGCACGTACGGACAATGGAGGACGATCGTTTCAGCAGTGTGCTGACTGGAGACTGATTTTATGCACTACTAACTTCCGAATTAGCTGAAGTCGTCAGGCCACACTGAGTCTCTTAAATGCATGCAGGCCACATACCCAAATCGATCACATTGCTATCATTCACCGGTGGCCTGGATCTATAACTGACTGCCGCTCGTTTTGGAACACATCTGTGACCACGCACTCGTCCGGAGTCACCTCTCACTACGTTTTCCAGGACCATATATGGTGCGGACAAATCGCTTGGCAACTGAGAGACTGGCAGATCCGGATGTTAGATGAACTTACCAGATTTGTCTTCTGGATTCTCTTCCAAATGCTCCACCATCAGGTAAGAACTCGAGGTGGGACGAGGTTGCAACCTCATTGCATAGTGCTGGGAAGTTTGCCTGTGGCATGACACCAGCCGGTGCACTCAAGCACTGGATATCAGACCGAATGGTTGCACTGCTTAAATCTCGGAGAAATATCCCAGCCGGTCCCGAAAATA